AGGGGGGGAGGGGGGGGGGGACAAAAAGTCATTGTCTCTATCCTTCGGGGACAGACATGGCATGATAAGCTTATGTCTCAGAGCCACGAGGCAAATGCGTCACTGACAGTGAATATTGTTTATAAATCTTTGAAGGAAAAAAAAATGAGTATCGGTGTTGGTGAATTTTTGCAGCTCAAGTTAAGAGAAACACATCGAGATCACAAATTGCTTAAAAGAAAATTTAGAAAGACTCTTCTGAGTCGACAGACAGAAATGACGAAGGGAAGATAGGCCTACATTAACTTGTTTCCTCATCCAGAAAAAAGAGGGGTAGAAGGATAAGGATTAGGGGTAAATAGTTTAGAACGAATGTCTGTTGACCATTTTTAAAAACCTGATCTGGATGATCGGGTTGGGAGATGGCATTGACCAATGTACACCATCAAATACAACAACTCGCCACTACTTTTCTTTATTTTGGCCACGAAGTCCATAAGGACCTTCTATCGCATTCCGCCCGCAATTAAAAGGATCTGACCCCGTTGTGTCATAATAATAATATAACACTCGATAGCCTTCTGATTGGCTACTTGGCGCAGTTTTCATCAAATGAACCCCATCGTGACTCTAAATGATTTTGGAGGACGTAATCAAACGGCGTTAAAATTGGCAGTTTTTGCTAATCCGCAAAGAAAAATCTGACCACCCTCAATAAAATTATTGTGTCAAACCACATTTAATAGGGATTTCTGCAGTGTACGCAAGGTGTTGCGACCGAATCGACATTAATTTATCGAAATGTATAGGCTGACTGCTTCGACCCTGCCTGTTACAACCAACCCGAACTGAGTGGGAAACAGTATTCTATCCGGAAGGAGAAGATACTTGATAGAACAGACCCCCCCCCCCCCTTTCCCCGTGGGAATCGAACTCATGTCTTTCACTTGCAGCTATTAGGGGTCTAACCATGACACGGTATTGATGCAGGTAGCGAAGGAGAGAGAGAGGGGGGGGGAGAGAGAGGGGGGAGTCAGCATGGAGAGTGTTCCGGTGGGAGAGGCGGTAGTTTTCGCTCTAGTTGTGAGGAGCGAACAAGTATGTGTGTGTGGATGGGGGAGGGGGATGGGCGGAGGGTGTTAATGAAAATTAACGTCATCTTCCTTACATTTGGGGCCCAGTCTTTTTACTAGAGCTACACATATCAAAGACGATTATCATATCGTTATTTTAAAATTTTTAAAGATCTAATTCGTTCCTATTCCACAAATCTAGTAAAATACGAATTATAAATAGGTGCATCGAAATACATATACACATTTATATTGTATATCTATTATATATTTGGCAACTTAGAAACACATGTGTCACTTTTTCCATAAAACTACGACAGCTGCAGAGTTGAGAGTTGGCATGGACCTGCAAAAAGATAGATAGGTCCCCATGACGGAGCCCGATTCTGGATTTATTCATTTCTGAATTTAGACAAATATATGGGGTCTCTCGTGGCCTAGAGGTTAAGGTGTTGGCCTCTCATTCAAAAGGTCCCGGGTTCGAATCCGGGTAGCGACCGAAAAATGTTCTTCTCTAAATTTGTCTCCTTTCACCTCATTTCCTGCTCTCTAGCAATGTTCTGTCGTCTGCTTTCGTCTCCTCTTTCTGTCCCCACCCCATCACCTCCTTTGCCCCTTCCTCTGGGCTCCTGATTCTTTCTGCAGCCTTTCTACTGCTACCCCTTCGCTTCTTCTTACTGCTGTCTTTCAGCCACACACCTGATCTTCTGGTAGGAAAGATCTACACCTAGCCTTCTCGGACAAGGGCGAAAAATCTCGGAGGGCCCGTGTGCAAGTTGCGCACGTTAAAGATCCCTTGGTGGTCTAAAATCGATAAGAGTGGGCTTCGGCCGCCACCTGGGCAAAATTCAAAATTTCCTACCAACTGAAAATATTAGGTGTGTCCCGCGCGCTCATATGACCCTATGCAGTTGCGAGCGCCGTAACTTGCACACTGGACCTCCAAGATTTTTCGCCCGAGAAGGCTATGCTGTGTGGCTGAAAGACAGTAGTAAGAAGGAGTCAAGGAGAAGCAGTGGAAAGGCTGCAGATAGAGTCGGGTGCCCCGAGGAGGGGGCAAAGGAAGTGGAAACAAAAGCAGACGACAGAATATGGCTAGAGAGCAGGAAAGGAGGTGAAAGGAGACAACTTTAGATAGAAAGATTGCCCGTCGCTACCTGGATTCGAACCTGGGACCTTTGAATGAGAAGCGAACACCTTAACCTCTAGGTCACGAGAGCCCTCCTTACAATATATTGTGTGTATGTACGAGACTGAAATTAAATACTTCTACCGTACAAACATATTATTTGGATGATTAAAGCACATTTGAGAAACGTGTTATTGCTTTTTAAGAAACGTTTAATAGCTCTAGATAAAAGTAATGCAGCTATGAGATTATATTATATTTATCAACTCTTAAACGCTTTCATGTGGTATCCTAATAACCAGATGGTCAAACACATCGAAAGGCTGGTGAAGAAAGTAAGAGAAGCCGTTCACTTAGTACGAAATATACACATGTATCTTCCCTTGTTGAAGAAGTCCTATATTATTTTTCAGTCACATTGATATGAAAGTGCTGAAGACTTCAGTCTTTTCTTCGACACAGCACTTCTACTTCTACACTTCCATTCGGCATAGAAACCCTTGCGGGGCGTACGCCGCCAACAAGCTCTCCCCAGTCATCACAATTACGGGAAAGTCTCTCCAGCTGTTTTTAAGGAACGTGCTCGATTCTCCTTGTCTGCATATTCATATCATGGTGTAAAGTGTTCTTTGGCCCTCCACGTATCCTCTCCCCTCGAGACTTCCAATACGTGCCTTGTAGCACTGAGTGTAAGCTTGCTAAGAAGAGTGTGACCAATCAATCGGTGCCGGTTCAGTTGAAGGTCTACCGCGATGTTTCTGGTTAAGTTGAAGGTGTACCCCTGCTCAACACCACCACCAAGCACATCCTCCTGCAACCTTTGTTTATTTTATTTAATTTAGTGGGAATATTCCTGGAAGGATGAAAACAAATTCGGATCCCTGATTTTGAATTTCAAGATTTTGCGTAGGTCAAACTGTGTGTAGATCTAACCAACTGCATTACAGTGGTCTTTGTTGAACGTCTTTGTGCTTTACACTTCTGACACAATGTAGACTATTTAAAAAGCGAGATGACTCCGCTTGTCTGTGCCACCAGGAACTATATCGTGTTGAAGTTTGAAAAATAATTACATCTCAATAATCTTTTAGGAGCGGTTGTACTTTGTTGTTTTGTTGGGAGAGGAATTGTATTTCTTCCTTTTTTGTTTTCGTTTGTGTTGTGTTGTATTTACTTTAAGTCGGAGGTAATACCAATACCAAAAAAAGCCTAAAATATATTAATTAAATGACTTAAGACAAGTCGCTCTTACATCCATTGCTTTCAAGTGCCTCGAAAAATTGATCCTCTCAAATATTCTAGGTTGTGTTCATGGAAATCTAGATCCCTTCCAGTTTGCATACAAACAAGAGAGAAACGAAGATGATACTGTACTTGTTTTTTGTGACTCTATACTGAAACACTTTGAAACATCTAAAACGTATACGAGGGTACTTTTTGTTGATTTTTCCTCAGCATTTAATACAATTCAACCGCATATTGCCATTGAAAACTTCTGAGTCTGAGAGTTAGTCATCATATCGCAGCATGGGTACTGCAATTTTTGACAGGCAGACCACAATAATATGTGAAGCTGCACAAAATCTGACACAATTCTTTGTAACACCGGCCGTCCTCGGGGGTGTGTTTTGTCACCAGTTTTGTATACAATATAAACCAACGATCATAGAAAAATATATAAAACAACACGCTTAATTAAGTTTGCAGATGACTCCGCTACAATTGGATTAATAAACCTTGATGAAAAAGAGTATTTCGAAAAAATATGTATATTTTTTAATGGTGCAATTCAAATTTTTTTAAAGTGAACCTCTCAAAAACAAAGGAAATTATTTTTGATTTTAGAAGAGAAAAACAAACAATCCCACTACTCGTAATTGAACAAAAAACAATTGAAATCACGGATTCATACAAATACCTTGGTCTTACAATCGACAACAAATTTGCATGGCAAAACCACGTAAACAATATCGTTTAAAAAGTAAATCAGAGGCTGTACTTTCTCAGGAAACTTAGGTCTTTCAATATGAATCTATCCATCCTTCAGATATTCTACTCCACCACAATAGAAACTGATAAATTTTGGTATCACTTGCTATGGTAGCAATTTGGGAAGGCAACACATAAAAATAAACAAGTTGATAAGAAAGGCATCAAGAACAATTGGTAGAGAGCTAAGTAACTTTGAATATCTGCACAAGACAAGGCGGAAATAATGCTTAGTGACCATAGCCACCCACTGGCATCGGAATTTCAACTATCGATCTGCAGTAAACGATACATTTCAAAAAAAGCAGGAATAGACATATATATAAATCCATTCGTACCAACTGCAGTGAGGTTACTGAACACACAGTGCTACAAATGAAACAGGGAGAGAGAGAGAGAGAGAGAGAGAGAGAGAGAGAGAGAGAGAGACAGAGAGACAGAGAGACAGAGACAGAGAGACAGAGAGACAGAGAGACAGAGAGAGAGAGAGACAGAGAGAGAGACAGAGAGAGAGAGAGAGAGAGAGAGAGAGAGAGAGAGAGAGAGAGAGAGAGAATGTATTTCGGAGCGGGTTGTCCCAGCACGTGAGATATGCATTTACTTGGCTTATGTCCTGTCTTGTTGTGCGTTTGCGTGAGTCTAACTTTTGTAACGTCTACTGCCATTGTTAACGACCAAGACAAATTTCTCCCTACGAGATGAATAAAGATTGTCATTGTCATTGTGTTGTGTGTGTGTGTGTGTGTGTATGTGTGTGTGTGTGTGTGTGTGTGTGTGTGTGTGTGTGTGTGTGTGTGTGTGGTTTTTTTGTTGGTTTTTTTTGTGTGGATGTTTTGCGAAAGGGGGAGGCCTCTACATACCGCATACCGACGGGTTTGTCTGGGTGTACTTCTCTAAAATTATTGACACTACTGTCCTTCTGTGGAAACTTAATAGGCCTACCGGTACCATGATACCCTTACTGATGACCGAGTTCTTCTTCAAATTATAGCCTATTCTGAGACCAAATCCGGAATAGTCCATAAAGATGAGGATAAAGTAAAGGTCTTCTCCACTGTGTAGGCTACAAGTTAGAGTGGCATATTTTGTACGTCTCTATACGAGTATTCCGTTTTAATTACCTCCTGATTTTCTTTCCCATTCCAACCTTTTGTGAAGCGAAAGGCTACATTGATTTTTAAAAAAATTTAAAAAATTTAAAGTCAGGTTAAGAGGGTAAGAAAGGGAGTTAATTGGCTTCATTATTTTGGGAGGTTTCTAAGTTTTTAGGTCTGGTTTTTTTTTTCCACTCATATCAAACCCTGTGTTTCTCTGCATCTTAAGGTGTGGACACTTGTACACAAGGTTAAATTTTAAAGTAAGCATGGTAGCTGTTTATTTTTCTGACCAATTAGGTATGGATTTATAAGGTCAACAACTGGAATTTAAATCAACTTTTGGGGAAAATTTGTTCACTTCTGACTTCAGAAATCCTATCCTTACTTTCATTTGCCCAAGGGTGAATAAATGTACTAAACGAAGCAATAAATGTTAGGCTGAAATGCAAATATCGGAATTAATAGTGTTCGTTTCAGCCAAGCAGAGGTACTCTCTATTTTTGGCGAGTTTTCAGTATTCATTCTTAAGGATTCTTACCTCGGGTAGGCCTGTAGCGTTCTATAGTTAGGTAAAAAAAATCGGGGCGCAGCTTAAATACATGTATGGTGAAATATTTCCTGAACTATTGAACATAGACTCTCCAGCTTTTGCACAATGGTTTGTATCAATTGTCTTAATAGATCGATGTTTTTATAAACATCTGCTGGAATTGTATTCTAGAAAATTCCTTAATAACTAGGCCTACTAATTAAAAATCAAAGTGATTGGTTTCTGCAGATCTTGTCTTAATAAAACGGTTTTATAGCTGGGGCAATATTTAAAAAGAAAGTAGATCGATCTGCGTCATTTTTTTTTCTAATCGCGACTATATATTGAATATTATGTTTATTGAACACATGTTTTGTGAACTTTTAGAGCAAAAAAACCTTTAAGATGACGCGTGTTCATTATGAAATTTATTCTTTGTAACAAGTTTTGAAATTAACAAAATATTATGGACGTCATTGGTAAGCTGTGACGTAGGCAATAATATATTTGCGTTTTCAAAAACGTGTGTCGGGCATGAATAATTAAGTGCTGTGAACAATCCCATTTTCCGCGTGATGGATGTTTACAGTATTTTATATAAATTTATGAAGAAAAGTTTTTTTTTTTAAATCAACCCTCAATTTATGTGGAAAAATATGATTAAGTTTAGACAAACTGATATAAACTGCTGTGCAAAGTATGGGTGATACTGATCTCACCCGTTAAAGAGCATGTTTGGGGACAAACTAGTTGCGTCACGAATTTTTTACCTCACTATAAACTACAGGTATCTCAAAAAGATATAGATCTAGGCCTACAAACTGTTATGAAACATTGCACCAATATATATTTCTTTTGACATGTATAGATGATTGTACGCCTTGGAAATCTTAAGTGCCTCTCCAGTTATAATATACAATGTAGTCTAATTAACCCCCCCCCCCCCCCCCCCCAAAAAAAAAAATTTTTAAAAAAAAAAAATATTTATAAAAATGGTAATAATAATAATAATAATAATAATAATAATAATAATAATAATAATAATAATAAATAAATAAATAAATAAATAAATAAATAAATATATTATGAATCAAATTAATTGACGCATTCTCTCAATTATGGCCCTAAGTTCATAGGCAATTCAGAGGAAGACCCAAAATCACAGGTGCATGACCACACATTGATGTGCAAAATTTTAAAGGCAAATGCTGTCTTTCAAACTGTCTTGCCTCAACGCCAACGTTGGATAATATTCTGCCTTGAATTTGAAACATCCGCTATTGACGAATGTTTTCAATAGCCTAACCTTACTAATGCACTCGGGGGGGGGGGGGGATAGTGATAACAGTTGATTGGAGGAAAAGTTGTGTGTTCTGTGTGCCTTTAAAAATGTTTCTAGCTGTTTTTAGCAATTTGATTTTAACAATATGTCCTTATTTTAAAAAATAATAAATAATAGGCTAATTTTGATAAATCGCCATACAGGGGAAGCAACCAAGAAAAAACTCATGAGACCGGAAGATGCAAGAAACTTTTTATCCTCGCAATTTTATTTTGCAACAGCTGGACCGGACGAGCACACTCAGTTGTCAATAAACAACATTAGTAGACGTTGACTCCATGGAAAAAGAGGTCAGCTGGTTTGCGATCAATAAACAACACTTTGCCTCATTATTCAAAGAAGTGTGGAAAGGGAACGATTTGTTTTCGGGGACTATTGTGACATATTTATTAATGAATCGTTTCTAAGCCTGTGTGTTGAGTAGACTTTATCTAACTGCACTGCTGGAGATCTTGTAAACCTCGACGAACTCTGACTTGCCGCAGCAAATACATTGACAGAAGTAAGCGCTCAGAATTCTACAGTGCAAGCGAGGAGATACCCTCTTCCACATCATTTAGATTCTAGATCTAGATTATCTAGATCTAGATCTAATCTAGGATCTAGGTTTGTTGTACAGTAGTCTCCGCCTAAACGCACGCCATACAAAAGCACGCTCCGCTCAAACGCACGCTTTCGTCATCTGACCGGTTTTTTAGTACTATATCTAGATCTATATAATTTAGACGTGCAAACGCACGGTCACTCCCTCTAAACGCACGCTCCGATCCGCGAAACACGCCGACAGGTTAAAGCTTGACAAGGGGAAATTTTCACTACAACCTGCCCAGTTTGCATAGACAAGCCAAGAAAACCGGGTGAGAGTGCCCCTCACGCGGAACAACGACAAAGAGAGGGATGGACAACGTTTTCACACCCAATTTTCCACAGACTACAGACACATAGGTCTAGATTTCTATATCTAGGTCTGGTTCTCGGTCTAGGGCTGGTCGGGGAGGGGGGCGGGCGCGGTTGGGGGACTGAACTTTTTTTTGATTGGTCACTGGAAATGCATCTTTTGAGAGAAGATTTCTGACTGGTGTTTTTGTGACTGCGTGTAATGTTTAGTTAAACCTAGGCCTGATGCGCAACACGCGTGAAAGTGAATGCCGTAAAACACTAGATAGGCCTCAGTAGGGTTTAAGATTAGCCAAGTAAGCCTAGTCAGTTGCGCTCGTTCAACGAATCACAAGAGAAATGTTTCTTTTGAATATAGAGATCTATGATTCTGATGTCGTCCGTGAATTTACGGTCAGGGGGTGATCGCTTGGAAAGCCACGTGGCCGCGCTGTCGTCTCTATGACTAGATTTATGACTATCTCCAACAGTTTCCTCTTAGCTGTTCAAGACGTTTTATAGTGCATCATTCATTACATTAATTTACATTGAGACTGTCTTTCTCCCCCCCCCCCCCCCCCCCCCCCCCCCCCATTCAACGCCTTTGTAGTCATAACCGCAGTCGGGGAATCCTTCACAAAACAGTCACGTGTCGTCACATTATCGGCAAAAATTGACCCTCACCCGAAAGGGAGGTCATTAGAATATCAAGGCAATGAAATGACTGCGTCCCTTCCTCCCTTTGCAAAGGTTCATGTAAACGCATGCTCCGTATAAACACGCTGAAGAGCCCTCCCGAGCACCATGCGTTTAGGCGGAGACTACTGTAGTGATGAAAACAAGAATTCAAGAGATTTTTTTCTCTTTTACTTTTCCTTGGTATTCTAAATTCGAAGTGACCATTTCTGCGAACGGTTTCCATTCTCGAGTTTTATTGGCTATTTGCGAGAGTTCGGCGTCATCTTTCATTCTACCATTATGCGAGGACTGGGAAGAAGCATTTTTTTTTCATCAAATTCAATTTCTAGAGCTAGTATTTTGGCGCTTTTTCGGTAGTTCCCACCCCGCAATTGTTATTCACCGGTTTTGGCCCCAAGAGTAGGGGGGTTTCAGGGGAATAAGGTGGGGGGTTTCAGGGGGTCCAGTTTTTAGGTTTGATATCTTAGCTCGCCACGCATCAAACGTATAGATCTAACGTATAGATCTAGATCTTGAAATCTAGATGTAGATCTAGGCTCAAATAAGGGGGGTGGGAACTACCGAAAAAGCACCGAAATTTTTAGTTGTCTGAATATTCTGATACTTCAGTCATAGTTGGGGCAACGTTCCTGGACTATACATTGTACTTCATTTGCAAATGCCTACAAAAGGTACTGCAAGAAAACAAGACTGCTTGACTTCGGCATTTAGTCACCCCTAAAGCAAAAACTAAATCACAAAAAAAAATAATCACTCCACGCCGCCCCACGTTCACACCTTACACACACACACACAAAAACACATGCACACACACACACACGCGCGCCACTCCGTTCACAAAGAACCGTTCAGAGATATAGAGTTCAAGTTTATTTTCCCGAGCGTTCAGAGAAATAGAGCCGGCCTTCTAAATTAGAATTGAAGACTTGTGATTTCCTCTGTGACACTCTGTCACTGATTGTCTTTGTGTCTGGTGGCAGTGATGATAGTTGGCCTAGTAGAATAATATATATCTGCAAACCTGAAGAGGAATTTACAAAGGATTTTAAAACTCTGATTAGTGGGTGGTTGGTGGGTGCCCTGGTGTGGTTTGCTTCTCCTTTCCTATCAAACATCTATCGTATCTCCCCTTCTTCTTTTTTATGTTTGTTACTCTCTTGTAACACCTCTAATCTTCTGGCATTCATATGACCTTATGCAGTTGCGAGTGCCGTAAAACCTCTACTAACACTAATTCTGATTACTTATAGCATCCAGTCTCATGAAGTGAACACAGATAATTTCATTGGCAAACAGTTAGAGATACTAAAGGCATAGAGGCTACAAGACATATGGCCTAAATAAGCTAAACCCCCCCCTCCCTTACCTTATTTAGGCCACAGGTGGAAGACGCATTACCGCAGAATGGACGTGCCCCTCCTGTAGGATTAGAGCGGTGCAACCTCCGCTATGAGCAGCGACACAACCCATCTACACGTCTCCACCACAACCCGTCTACACACCTCCACCACAACCCGTCTACACGCCTCCACCACAACCCGTCTACACACCTCCCCCACAACCCGTCTACACACCTCCCCCACAACCCGTCTACACACCTCCCCCACAACCTGTCTACACACCTCCACCACAACCCGTCTACACACCTCCCCCACAACCTGTCTACACACCTCCACCACAACCCGTCTACACACCTCCACCACAACCCGTCTACACACCTCCACCACAACCCGTCTACACGTCTCCACCACAACTCCACCCAAACCGACCCATGACTCGACAACGGCACGTCAAACAATTGCGCCGTAAAAACCGTTGCACGGACTCTAATGCCAGGAACCATGAGCGCACCCGCCGTATGAAGAAGCAGAACAATCGAGCCCTAAACATCCTCCAATGGAATATCAGAGGCCTGCGCAGTGCCAAAATTGAGCTCCTTCGGCACATTGACACCAACCACCCAGACATTATCTGTCTTCAAGAGACATGGTTAAGCCCAAATATAGACATTTGTGTGCCTGGTTACTCTATTGAACAAAGTGACAGAGATGACAGAACTCTGTAGACACTCTGCCCCCACCCGTAGGAGCAAAGCCAAATGGTCCTTCAAGAAGGTTGACTGGTCGTTGTTCAATGCCCTCATGGAAACAGAGACTTTGGCTAATGACATGCCTAACATGACGGACGCAACAAAATTAAACACCTGCCTAACTGAGGCCATTTTAAAAGCAGCCAAACAAAGTATCCCTAAGGGCGCTCGTAAACCCTTCTGGAATGAAGAAGCGGACAAACTAATAGAAGAAAAAGTGCAATTAAGGAAAAAAGCCATGGCAACCAAAACACGAAAAGACATTGAAAGCTACCAGGAGGCATCTAAAAGAACCACATCCCGCCTAAACGAGATGAAGCGCGACTGTTGGCGCAACTTTACCTAAGAGATGTCCCTCTCGACTGACCCTCAACAAGTTTTCCGAGTCATAAATGCCATCTCAGGCAAGAAAACCCCCTCCACCGGCAGTGCACTCAAAGTAAACAATAAAACCCTAAAAGGAGATAGAAGCAAGGCTGAAGCCTTTTGCCGTGAATACGCCTCAGTCAGCCGCCTAAAACTCGACAAGGCAGACAAACACCGGCACTACCAGCTTAATGAAAAGCTTAAACTCCTCCCTATTGACCAGAACACAGGCTATGATTTTCTCCTCACCATGGCTGAACTGACAGTTTGTATAGGAAAGCTGAAAAACGGCAAATCTCCCGGGTTTGATGGTGTAACCAATGAGATGATCAAACACTTCGGACCCATGGCAACCTCTGCCCTGCTCCGTCTTTTCAACCTATCATGGGAAATGGCCATTGTCCCAAACAGCTGGCGACATGCCAAAATCATACCAATACCCAAGAAGAATGAGCCTGCAGGGATGATTGGGTCCTACCGCCCCATCAGTCTCACCAGCTGCCTAGCTAAGCTGATGGAGACCCTCGTCAAGAACCGCCTGATGTACTTTCTGGAGAGCAACAACTTGCTGAGCAACAACCAATCGGGCTTCCGCAAGTTACGGTCTACTGAAGACCAAGTCCTGTGCCTAACACAACATATCTCCGACGGATTCCAGGCTTGTCCCAAAATGAAACGAACTGTGCTGGCCCTCATTGACTTCTCGCGTGCCTTCGACAAGGTATGGCGCACGAGGTTAATGGAGAAGATGATTGAGAAATCTACTCCCAGCCGCATCACCCAATGGATAGGTTCGTTCCTCAGAGACAGATACGCCTGCGTCGAGCACGGCAACGCAACAAGCAGGCTTCGCCGTTTCGAGCAGGGAGTCCCTCAAGGCAGTGTCCTGTCCCCTGCACTATTCCTTGTCTTCATCGATGATATTGAAGCAGGCCTGCCTGAAGCCGTGAAGACGGGACTCTATGCTGATGACTATACAATATACGCCACCAGCGAAGACATAAATCAGGCTGAAAACAGTGTCCAAGCAGCCATAAACTTACTCGAGCAGTGGGCAAAGCAAAACAAGATGGAGATCAGTACGGAGAAAACAGAGTGCACCCTCTTCACCACCAGCACCCACGAGGCCAAGCGAAAACCAGCACTCTCACTCAAAGGCTCCCCCATCACCTTCAACTCCAACCCCACCTTACTTGGGGTCACACTTGATCGTACTCTACCATCCAACGCCCACATCCAAAACCTTGAGCTAAAACTGTC